TTACCTTATGCTGTTCTAGGGGGGTGTGCAACTCGGAGGAGTCCAGCAGTCGAGAGAACTATTCCATTAACTTTATAACCCAGCCTGATTATATTACCAGATATTATGAAAACTCTTTCCTAGTCTGTCTGTACCATACACAGATTCACAGCATTTCTCTGCTCTGGTCTTTCCTCTGTTTCTAAATACCAATAAACGATTCCACTATCCCCTTGTCATGAGGTCATCCCCTGAGTCTTTTCAGGACTTAATCACAGACCACAATCACGCCAGGTTTCCTTCATCAGTACCATGTTTTACTGTATTCTTTCAGCAGGCCACAGCCTATAGTGTTATATGTATTTACATTGCACAGGTAGTTTCCCCATTTGCTTCTAGGGACAGGCACCATACTAACAGCAACCAGTGCTGGCTACCTCTGCCTTGCTTCAGGCTCCCTCATCTTTAGCGCATCTTTCATGTCAATTTATATAATCCCACCTGCTGGGATTTCTTCCCCATCAATTAGCCTTTCAGCTGTAGCTCTACTCAGTTAATTGACACCCTGTCAACTACCTATCTTCCAATTAAGTCCCAATTAATATATACTCGTGGGTATTAAAGTGACAGGGTGATGAGTTAGCTTCTTACTCAGTGCACCCTGTTACAATCCTTCATAATAGAAATCCTCTCCTGTAAAAGCAGTTACAGGGCTGTGTTTATTATTGTGACTATTACAACGTAACTAAGCCTGTCATGAAGTGTTGGTTCTCATGCTGTGGGTAACAGAAGGGTGGGGTCTTTAATAGAAATTGAAGTCTGCTCATTGGTTTGCAAAAAGCTCAGAACCCACTGGACTGTCCTTGGCAGACCACATTCTAGCACTGGTTAGAATGTCATTGGTTTAGAGTTTGGAAAGGGCCTTCATAACACATCATTTTCATTTTTTTTAAGATGTATTCTATATGATTTGTATTGACACAATCCTCCTACTGGGCAGAAAAGGGACATGTTGTGTCTACATGCTCTTATATGTCAACAATGTGTTATTTGTCAAATGTGTCCAGTTAAGGTGACAAAGTTGAGCCACAGTAACCTACATATCCTGCAAAAAAGATACAGGACCAGACACTCAGCCCGTGTAGATCAGTATAGCTTCACTGACTTTAATGGCATTACTGCCATTTACACGAGCTGAGAGTCTGGCCTAGAAGCTCCTCAAGATTTAATAAAGCAATAAACAGTGGGTTTTATCTCATTTATATTCATGCACACTCTCAGACAGTGGATTTAACTTCCTTGTGGGTCTCTTTAGGAACCCAACTGAGGAGGCAGGCCAAGTCAGTGCATCATCCTCCAGTAACCCCAGCCCCTACCCCCCCTTTCCTAGCTACAACTCCACCCACTTTCTAGGCTGTTCTAGCCAACTCCAGGCCCTCCACTGGAGCCCAGCGTGTAGGTGGCTGCATTACTATGACCTTTCCCTCAGCCACTACAACTTGGGCCTAAATATACTGCAAACCAGTGTGTCTCACTTAGCTTTAAATCTCATTAAGTAAAATATGGCCCTGGTGACAATGTGCTTTGTCACTTCCCCTCTAAGTGTGAATAGGGTGTGTGTGTGTCATTTTATAAGTTTGCTGAGGTGCTAGTTAGATTTTTTTTAAATCTGAAACCTCAAAAACAGATTTGCTAATTTGATAAGTGTTATAGCAACTATTAGAATGCAATTTGATAGGATAACACCTTCTTGTTGAGTCAAGGGGGCATTTGCTTATGACTTTAATGCTTTTCAGGTCAATTTTTATCTTGGACAGTATTTCTCAAATCAGGACACTTGGTTATTCTTAGCCAAAGAATATATTCATAGATTCTCTGATTCCAAGGCCATTTGGGACCATTGTGATCATCTAGTCTGACCTCCTTTGTAACACAGGCCAGACAACTACACCCAAAATAATGCTGAGAGCAGATCTTTAAAAAAAAACCCAAAACATCCAGTCTTGATTTTAAATTGGTCAGTGATGGAGAATCCATCTCAACCCTTGGTAAATTGTTCCAGTGGTTAATTATCCTCACTGCCAAATATTTACACCTTATTTCCAGTCTGAATTTGTCTAGCTTCAACTTCCAGCCATTGGATCATGTTATTCCTTTCTCTGGTAGATTGAAGAGCCAATCAGCAAATGTGTGTTCTCCATGCAGGTATTTAAAAGACTAATCAAGTCATTCCTTAATCATCTCTTTGATAAGGTAAAGAGACAGAGCAACTTTCAATTGGGGAAGTTTTCTAGCCTGTGTGATGCAGAAGGTCAGAGTAGATGATTATAATGGCCCTCCTGGCCTTATATCTATGATTTTTCCTGTGGCTCAAGTTTTCTTATTTCTAAAATATGCCTCACATGACACTTTGCATTACCTGAAGCTTTCCCAGCTGTAGCTGTCAAATCACCTGAGAAATGGTATCATGCAGGACTTGACCCATTTTACAGACAGACTATGCATATAGATTACAGTACATTTTTCCTGAGGCACTGTGATGTAGTGGATAACTTTAAGCAACTAAATTTGAAATGTTTAGTGTTAAGTTATCTGTAAAATTGGGATGAGGAAAGTGGGGGTTCTAGTTTTTCCCCCATTGTCCTCGTACATCCAAATGACTGAACACTTTTGCTCAAAGCTTCCAAAAAGAAAGAAAAAACTCACCTTCTGGCAGAGACCACTGACGCCTTGTCTACACTACAGGGGAAATTCAATCTAAGCTATGCAATTTGAGTTACGTGAATCATGTAACTCAAATGGATGTAGCTTAGACCTACTTACCAGGGGGTCCTCACTACACAATGTTGACAGGAAACACTCTCCCATTGACCCCCCCCCCCTTACTCTTCTCCATCCAGTGGAGTATAGAGTTAATGGGAGAGTAATCTGCAGTTGATTTAGTGAGTCTTCACTAGACCCACTAAATCAACCGCCAGTGCATCAATTGCCACTCATCCATCCCCCGGTAAGCATAGACAAGCCCTGAGTAAAAGAGGATGTTCATAAATTGGGGAGGGTTCAGGGAAGAGCCACAAGAATGATTAAAGGACTAGAAAACTTGTGTTTAGTGTGTGATGGGTCTCACTCACCACTGCAGCACCTCCTGCCAGCTGTCATGGGAATTAGCTCTGCTCACCAGAGCACCCTCCTCTGGTGGTGCCTCAGCCCATCACTTTTGTTCCAGGACCAACACCACACCCAGGACTGCAGCATCCTCTTCAGTGACATTGCCTGTCACGCCACGCTTTGTGTTCCCCCCTTCCAGAGCACCTGCAATCTCTGTCCCATCACTACTTCAGTGGCAATTGTAGTCCTATTGTCCTCGGGCTGCTTCCCATGCGGCTCCAACACCCTCTTCTGCCCTTACCTCAGGGCCTCAGCCTGCAAGCCCTAGCAGCCAGCCAGGAGCTCTCTTTAGCTCCCCCAGTCCCAGGTGCTGGTGCCCCTTCCTTCTGCTAAGAGCCTAGTCTTCCCCCATCAAGCTCCAGTCAGCTACTAAACTCTGCTCTGCCATGCAGCCGTTCTTATATGAGCCTGCCGGGCCATGATTGGCTATTTCTCTCAGCCTCTTTCTAATTGGCTGCCTCCAGCACAGTCTCCTTAGGGCTGCTTTTAACCCCTTTTCTGCCAGTGAGGGGCAGCTGCCCCATCACACAGTGATAGACTCATGAAGCTCCATGTATTTAGCTTTACAAAGAGAAGGTTAGGGAGTGATTAATTACAGTCTATGGGGAACAAATATTCAATAACTGGCTCTTTAGTCTAAGAGATAAACGTATAACACGATTCAATGGCTGCAGGTCGAAGCTATACAAATTCAAACTGGAAATAAGGGGTACATTTTTTAACAGAACAGTTTACCAAGGGTGGTGGTGGATTCTCCATCATGGTCATTTTAAAATCAAGATTGGCTGTTTTTCTAAAATATCTGCTCTAGGAATTATTTTGGGACAGTCCTCTGGCCTGTGTTGTACAGGAAGTCAAACTAAATGGTCACAGTGGTCCCTTCTGGCCTTGGAATCTATGGAATTCTAGCCTCATTGAAGGTGATGTCAAAAGTCTCACTGATTCCAGTGGAGCCAGGATTTCACCCTGAGTCTGGGAAATTTCAGCCCAAAAGGTTAAAGGTTTGGAACATTCTGCACAATTGGAAACAAATGTTAGAAGTGAAAGAATTCTGTAAACCACCACAGAGTTTGCTCCTGTTCCCCTTATAATAATTACCTTTCAGTATGACCATTTCCTATAGTCTCATGTGCATGTAGCATTTTTTCTTATTGTGTGGGCTCTTAAGGAAAAATTACTAATGTACTGTAATCCCTCTTGTTTGCAATAGCTTCAGGTGCATACACAAAGAGATGTGAAGATTCTGGCCAAGAGTTTCAAAAGAGATGCCTAAGGTTTGGCTCTAGTGTCTATATTTAAGCATCTAAATAACTTCCCTGATTTTCAAAAGTACTGAGCACCCAGTAGCTGCCATTGACAGTACAAATGATCAGGAATTTCAAATCTGATTATTTGCCTCCTATTGGCATGCAAGGTACAAGTGCAAAGTTCTGCCTTGGATTTATTCTGCAAAGCATGGAAGGGAACATCTGCAGAGCAGTTCCTTCTGGAAAGTTACATGGACTGGCATATAAATGGTGTAGCATTAACATACCCACTTCCAACACATGTACTGTACAATGTTAGTTCCTGCTGCTTAGATTCATCATGAAGAGTGAGATGCAGCCGTGACCCCCTCCCCCCAATTCCCATTCCCCCTAGCCTCTGTACATAAGCTTTCCCCTGAGAAGGGCAAAGCCAATGGAAACAAGTCCCTCCTGAGACCATTAGGATCACCGTAATGGGCCTGGCTGGCTGTAGATGGAGGAGCCCAGGTATGTTGTGCTCTTATTGATTTTGACCCTTCCTTTCTGTACATTTGGGAACAGCCGTTGTTTCTGTTAAAGATGCGACTTCTATATTCTCTTTTCCAGAACAAAGGAGGAGAGGGATGAGGATGGGGATCTGAGGTTACAGTGCCTCCATAGCTGCTCCCCAAATAGTAAGTGAACATAGCTCTCCATGTCTCTAATAGATGATGGTTTATGTAACCCCCAGAATGGTTCCTGGGAGTTTGGATACAGGTTAAAGTAGGGAGGTGGGACAAATACATGTTTGCAATTTAATCAAATAGCCAACATGCATGTGCAATTTTAATCAAATAGGAATAATGAAAAATAACTGAACTGTGCACAATCCCATGAAGTTTATTTTAGCTGTGCATCCAAAGCAATGTTGTCCTACAATGATATACCATATAGTATCTCTAGCAGCCGTTACTACAGAGACATCTATTTTTCAAGATAAGCACTAATTTAGAAAATTATAACTGTATAATATTCAGCATGCAATAATAATGTACAACATTTGTACATGTTTCATCAGTATGTGACACTAATCCACACTGGTGCATGCGGTGAATATCTACCGTTCATAGATAAAATCAGTGAAAGCAAGTATTATTCAATAATAACTTTAATATGAATCAACTGGGCCAACTCCTGCAGTCTTTCATCAGTCACTACACAGACAAATCAATAGGTCTTTACTTTAATCTTATTCAGCATTTATTCAGGCAAAATTCTTACTGTAGCCAATGGGAGTTAGCCAGCTGTTCTGTCTCATTGCTGATGAACATGGGAGTAAGGATCTCAGGGTTTGGCCCATAATGAATGCTCTTCTTTCCCTTCAATATGCAGCAAATACAAACACGGATATAGCAAGATGTTGTTTATTTATGGTAAATAGCATTGTGTTCAAAAGAATCATGGAATTCTCACAAAGAAAGCTGGAGAATCCTCACTCAGCAGAGTGGAAAAGCCTCTTGGAGGGAACGCTGCTTGGCAGAGCTCCCGGAAGTGACCTGCCAATACTAATGAGATTTGGAAACCTGAGAGTATTCCACTTCCTCTGTTTTACTGGGATGCAGAATGCACAACCACATCTCAGTGTCCACAGCCTTGATAATAACAAGGACAGTGATACCTCTACAGTTTTGTCCTAGCAGCTCCTCGGACTTACATTCTCCACAAATGGTTTCTTGATGGTGGTGGTCATCAGATTTACTGGCATTTACTGAGGCTTGAAGGCAGCTTTGGTATCACAAAGGTGGATTAGCACTTGAGCTGAAAGAGTTGCATGTCAGCTGTGGATCCATTACACAAACTATATATTTTTTTCCATTTCCATATAGCTGAGGTGTAATGAAACAAAACTGATTATTTCTGATTATTCTATTTGTGTTTCTGATTATATCAGTATAACATGAATCCTAACCTTGTTCTGGGACACACATGCACATCCAAATTCTCTTTCTCTCTCATCCCCCCACCCCAATATCATGCACACATGCACAACCACCCCGCCCTCTTGAGGAAAACACTTGAGAGCCTTGCATTGTTCCTTAAATGTCAACAAATTTGAACTCAATAAGGTGAGGTGTTCCAGAGCTGAGCCCCACACTGAGAACTCCCCGCCCTTAATCCTCAAGCTGCTTGAAATTTTGACAACCTGGTATTTTCCCCCATCAAAAAATGGCATTTTGTTAAAAACTAAATGTTTTGTGGAAACTGTCACAATTCAGGGCAACTGCACCTATATTTCCCTGCTGTAGTCCAGCAAGGGCCACTCTCAGGCCTCCAGCTCCCCAGACTTCAGCTCTCTTGGGCAGAGACACAATATTTTCTCTCTCTTGACCAGGATATTTCCAGGCTCCCTGCCTACTCTGTGAATTTCGCAGCAAAATCATACTGCCTAAACAGGCCCGCTTTACTTTTCTCCTCAGAGATGGTAAACAGTATAATTGACACAGTTAGGCTATGACCCAGCTCTTTCTCAGCAAGCACATTCATTCTTAAGGTAAAAGCATTTCAGAGAAAACCTATGAAAACAATAAAAGAATCTACATGCATGCTAATAAGCTTACCAGAGATCACCCCAACTCCAACAAGGGGTCTGGCCAGTGAACAGTCCTTCAAACCCCCACAAGAGGGTTTTCTGTGATCACAAGTTCATAAAAGCTGTTTGCTCAGAACAAGCACACTCATGAATCTGTGAGTCACTCGTTTGGGCCATCTGATCCTGTGAATAGGTCCTCTCCCCAGAGCAGAGATTCAAAAGAGCAAGTCCAGAGGTGGGCATTTGCATTCCCCTCCTCCCAAGTACTTCCTAGGAAACCTACTCAACTAACAGTTCATTTTTGTCTTAGCCATTGTTTAGAACAGTCCATTGAAGCTCATAATGCTTCCCAAGGCTTATATTAGTCATGTCTCCAAGACAAATGACATACAATCCCATGATAACACATACATATTTGCATTTTTAAAACAATGAGTTCCTAAGATATTTAAACTTAATTCAACAATGTTTAATTTAATTCTATAAAGTTTGTCCAGGATACGGCAAGAAGTTGCCATACCTGTCACAGAAACACATTGCTTTCCATGAAAATTTTGTTGGGAAGGGTTCTCAGATCCAGGAGAGAAATTCTGGTCAAAATGAGAGAAACTGACTGCAGAATAGCCTGGTGGTTAGGGCACTCACCTGGGATGTGAAAGACCCAGATCCGTGCTCTGCCTGATTCAGAGCAGGAGCATGAAATTGGGTTTCCCACATCCTGAGCAAGTTAGCTCTGGCTATTCTGGGATCAGTCTCTCTTTTTTGTGAAAGTTTTGTGTTTGTTCTGCATCAGAAAGAAAACTAATCTAAAAACCTCAACATTTTTCACAAAACAGACTTGTTGTTTTCCAGCCAGCCCTACTCAGACACTTCCCTCTAGGGACACAGCTTGAACACACCAGCTGAACGGAAGGGGTTGCAGAAGCACACTCTAAGAGGAGAATCTCTCAGGTAACCAGCCCAAGCTTCTGAGGATGTTTTAGATCAAAGATCCAAGTCAGTATCTTGAATTGCACCCAGAAGCAATCGGGAGCCATTGCATTTCCTGGAGAACTTATGAAACTTCTTCCCTGTGGCTAATACTGCCCAAACATTTGAGAAGCTGCATTGTGCCCAAAGCACACCTTTACAGAGCTCTTCAGGTAGATGTTGTACTCTTCCCTGTAGAGGACATTGCAATAGTCCAGCCTGGAAGTCCTAAAGGCCTGGAGGATGGTGGTAAGGTCTGGATGAGAAAGAAAAGATCACAAATGCCAAATGCAGATGAAGCAAAGCGTTCCCAGCCATCACCACATCCTGGTATTGTAGGATCACACAGGAATCAAGAGCACCCCCAAATTATGAAGCTTTCTTTAAAAAGAAACAAAACACTTAATAATGGGGCAGGAACCATCCCTGGCATACTCTCAAACTCCTTCCTCCAACCTACCAGCATCACCTCTTTCTTGAGCTTTATGCAGCTCACTTTCAAAGTCCACATCTTAGATCAGCATTGGGTAAGCCCAGACATCACAATGGAAGACATAAATCAGTGTGTCATTTGCATTCTGTAACAACACAGCTGAAATCACTTAAGTAGCTGCCCTGGGTACCTTGTGGACATGCCTTGCCTACCCCGGCTCACAGAAAAGCCTCAGAGCAGAACGTGCATTGTCCAGAACTTAGAGAGGAAAGAATGGAAGCATCCTAAAGCAGAGCTGTCTGCCCAGTCCGAGCCTGCAGACTAGTTAATAAACCTCAGAGCCCTCTCAGGCTGCTAATCAGCCCCAAAGTATGAGTATGGACCCCTGACTATCTCTAGGGAGAGGTCAGTGCCCAGTGAGACCAGTGCTGACTCCATCCCAAACTCAGGCCTGGAACTGAAATGGAACAACCAAACCTGAGAACTCCAAATGACACCAGAACTGCCTCACTAGACCTTTATAATAGACTTCCCCACAGAGAGAAGATTAGCAACAGGCTGATAACTCTCCATCCTGCCAGTGACAAACTACAGCTACTTGCAGAAGGGAAACTGGCACCTGACCCTACAGGAGAGAAACACTGACAATCTCATGCATCAGTGGGCCTAATAGCTCTTACTTCAGCAAGACAACAGGGGCATGAGTGCAATTCAAAGGCCCCAAGTGGAAGCTCTTGCAGTATATTCAGAGTGGGCTGACTGAGAAGACATTGTGTTTGGCCCCTCTGGGCACCAATCCTCCACCGTGACACCAGCCATGCCAGTCCAGATTCAGTGGATCATGTCTGTGAAGTAGGTGAAAAATTCCTCACAGCACTGCCCATGGGACTATTTCAGGGCAGAGCCAGACGTCACTTACCTGCCTGTGAATCAGAGCAATTCTGCTGCCAGATGTATCTGTACAGAGATATTGGAAGAGAAAGCGGCTTTCACCACCACTGCATACGTACCCCCGTTGCATGGACTCAGCATACAATCTTGGCCATTAGTGCTCCAATTTTTCAGCATGGATGTCTGATCTCTCCATTGCTCTGAGGACATCATCAGCTACCAAAACAAAATTCTGGGCCATTTCAGCCCTATGTCTGAAATCTGACAGCAGTACCAAATGCTTCTAGGGTTGGCTGGCCACCATTTCCTCAATGGACTTTCCCAGAAAGCAAAGTGTAGCAGATGGGTTATGATTGTCAAAATAATTTATATCAAGAGAGGATATCTTGACCAAGAACTCGTGAAGGGGTGGTGCAGACACTCTCTTCCTCCTGTTTTTATACTGTCAGAGCAGCTGCAGTCAATCTGATCTGCTATGTAGACTGAAAGCTCCTTGCAAAGGGAGACTTTCTGGTCTGAGACTTGGTGAAAGCAGCCTGAGTTACTCCGACAGCCCAGGACGTGGAACAGTGGATCAAGGTTAGACTTGCTAATGGAGCAGAACTCTGGAGGGAGTAGCAGGAAGGGAGGAGTACAGAGGATGGGAATAAATTTGGAAGGAGCAGAACTCATGGCCAAGTCTGAAGGCATGGCAAAGGGTGGGAGCAGGAGTGGCACGGCTACACAGGCAGCCTGGGTCAGGAGAGAACAGAGGTAGAGCAGGCAAAGGACGAGGAGAGGTTGTGTGGGAATGAGGAAGAGGAGGCAGGGGAGGTGATACTGAGATGACAGGGGAGTGCTTACAGGAGCAGAGGAGGAGCAAGGAGAGAAGAGGATTAGAGACTAGGAAGAAAGAGAGAGGAGAGGGGCTGAAGGGGAGGGCAGAGGCCAGGAATTAGGAGACATGTAGGAGATTCCCAGAGAGCACAGGAAGTAAGGCAGGGAAGAAGTTGCTGCATCTGGGCTATGCAGTGTGGGAGAAAGGAGACCTGCTCTGATCCACCATGCTAAATCAGCTGTTCTAGGAGACACAAGAGGGTGTGTGGTTCCAGCAGAGAGAAGGTGTCAGTGTCTGAGTTTGCAGGGAGGGGTTCAGAGAATCATAGAAAGTTGGAAAGCTTCTAGCAAAAGAGCAGACCTTGAGAATGGGAGTCAGGAGAGAGGGAGGGGAACAGGGTGGAGAGAGTCCACCAGTTCCAACCAGAGCAAGAAGAGGTTGCTCAGCGCTGTGTTTTGCTCCGGCCATGCCAGTGGCAGCTGCTGCTACCAGTCCCTGTGGTCTGAGAAGGAGGCGGCCAAGTGGTGGGGGAGTGACTTAACCTTCTGACTAACAGCATTCTGAACTAGGTAAGGGATCTGGGCAGCCATGCATGTCACAGCAATGTTACTCTGAGGAAATGGGAATACAAAGCCCCAACTATTTACTCCGATTAAAAACATGAGTTACCAACAAAGAATGGATGAGCAAACCCAGAGATGCTAAGGATGATCCTTGGAATAAATATAATACTATCAGGAACTTTTCAAAGAACTTGGAAAAGCCTTACCTATTAACTTTGCAAGAGAAACCAGAATACCAGTCTCAAAGACTAGCTCTGCACTGTCAGCAGTGACAGATGTTACCCCAGGCCTGGCTTCTAATCACTGGGGAAAAGGTTTATCCAAGTAAGTTTTCTACCATATAGAGAGGAATTTGTAGAATTTCATTACTACAAAGGTTGTATCCAACTCCCCTTTCTTGCTGTATGCCAAACCCCTCTCAGACGTTTTATGGGGTGTGACACAAATGCACTGAGCTTCTCCTTGCCATCTGTCAGTCTGTGTGAGATTAGAGCCTCCCTTCTGACCAGAAACGTGCCACAAACCCCAACTCAGCATCAAAATGCACTAACACTCCACAGTGCAGGTTGAGTTACTTTGTCCCAGTGTTCAACAGTATTTAGATGCCTAGAGAAGCAGATAAGAGGTTAGTGGGATTTTCAGAAGTCCCTAGTTTCCTAATGTTGTATGCAGTGTAGTTGTGGCCGTGTCGGTTCAACCTTGCATTTAGCTGTGACACTCAGAGTACCTTTCCCAGACTTAAAAAAGAGCTCAGTGTGACTTGAAAGCTTGTGTCTCTCACCAGCAGAAGTTGGTCCAATAAAAGACATCACCTCACCCACTTTGTCTCCCTAGTTTCCTAAAGCAGACTTAGGCCTAACACGATTAAGCACTTTGAAATCCCACTAGGCCCTAACACAGAGTGCAGGGAGTTAAGATGTGAGCCTGCACTCTGTCACCAATTATTCCCCCGTCCCCCCCAAGAAAGCTGATAATTAAAGGTAATTCAGTAATGAAAGCTGGTGGTCTTGGGGAGCTAATGAGCCAATTAGTCCATCAGCTCAAGCCTGTTAAAGAGGCAGAGGAAGGAGATGCGGGGGGAGAAAGGAATAGGGGCGAGCCAAAGCTTAGGGGAGAGCGATCTCTGCTCCCCTCTGGTACTGAGGAGATGGTCTAAAGCAGAGGTCCCCAAACTGCGGGGCACACCCCGCTCAATGGGCACGAAGGAATGTTCAGGGTGGGGGCGTGGCTGGGACTTGGGCCAGCCCCCACAGCGGGCGGGGAGGGAGTACCACCCAGCTCCACTTCTGGCCCTGTGCCTGGGGCCCCACTCCTGGTCCTGCATTCCGCTGCCAGCCCCGCACCCGGTGTCCTGGCTGCAGGCTCTGCGCCCGGGGCTCTGCGCCAAGGGCTCCACTCCTGGCCCTACCCCCAGCTGTGGCCCCAGCCTCAGCCCCCTTACCCCTGTCTGCATCCCCACCCTACCCCACCCCCAAGCCGCAGCCCCTTCCCAGCCCCTGCTCTGGGGGGGGGGGGGGGGAGTCAGACAAGGGTAAGGTAATGTGTGAGGAAAAATATGTGGGGACCACTAGTCTAAAGCATAGGCCACATCAACAGTAGACTGTTGCACAGGCCTCTGGAGGCGTTGGCGGAGGGAACTCCAATGGCATGGTAGACACACAGCCAGTAGAGTCTGAGCCGGTTTCTGGGGTGCAAAAAGAGGGAGCAGAGCTCGCCCTGCTACAAGCCCCTGTCTGCTTCATTAGGCACCAAAATGCCTTCGAAAATTAGGCCTTGGTTAGTTAGATGCTTTCTGGTGCCCCTGTGACCACTCATAGTTTTCACTCTTTACAAGACACTCCGGAAGCTTAAAACATGAACAAGCAAACAACGAATGGCCCATGCCCTTTATTATTTCGAGGAAAGCTTGCAGTTTGGTAATGTTGATAAGCACCAATGACAGCACTATGGCATCAGTCAAATCTTACCTTGAAAATGTACTTCTTTCTGTTAACATTGGAAATAAATCCTGAGAATTAGTTATTGCTCTATGTCCAAGCAGCGATTAATTGCCATTTCATAATTCCCATAAATTCATGCCTCAGTGTCTGAGTTCCACACACGGAGGACAAAGCTCACCCACTGTATGCCCAGGGTTTGCATCTCCATTCTCCAGCTCCTTGAATGTCTGGATCTTGGCTCTTTCTCCATGAGCCAGACACTGGCTTCGCATCACGGCATTTTGGAATTGCTTTCTCTGGAACATTAACTTTTGCATCATTTCCTTTCACCAAAATACACCCGTTGAGACCGTAGATCTGTTTAGCACAATGCTCCCCGAATGAGGCAGTAAGCTGCTTAACTCTTCCCCAAGCCACATTTAAAACCTCATTTCTCACCTAAACAGCAGGACCTTTGTCTTTTGAGGCAAACGGTGTTCTGTTTAGCTCCTACTCCTAGACTTTCCCTTTACTAGCATTTTAAGTGCTATTCTGTATATTTCCAGAGCCACACTGCCAGATTGCAATTCACTCAGTCTGGGCCAAATCTTCAGCAGGTGTAAACTGGCTAGCTCCATTAATGGAAATGGCACTGCACTGAGTTATACCAGCTGACGATCTGGCCCTCTGTATTTAGTCTTGCACAGTTTCTCAGAAAGAACATATTGCTACTCTGGAATCTGTTTTCATGCTGATTTTTACACCCAGAGCTGGATTTAAGTACAAACAGAGCAAGGCTATTCTGGAGGCCTGAGTTACTGCCTGTAATCTTTTGTGTCTTGTTTTAATCACACTGGGAAATCCAGTTTGTGAAGCTCATGCTCCCAAATCCAGCTTCTCATTCTGACTCCCCGCATAAGGCTAACCAGCCCACAAGCAGGCTGTCACACTCTGTAGCAGCAAGTGGAGGAGGGGCTCTTGGTGTGAACAAATGAAAACAGTGAATGCAAGTGGGAGTAACACATTCAGTAATATCTCCCTTCAGCAAATGAGAGACTCCTTCTGGTACAATCTCCTGTCACAGCATCCTCAGGAAATGTTGTGAGCTAGTGGTATTGATTGTGATACAGGGAACGTAGCCCACCATAACCATTCAGCTCACAACAGTGAAATGATATAAACATACAGGCCAGATCCTGAGTTGGTGTAAATCGAAGTAGCTTCATTGAAATCAGCAGAGCCATGCTGATTTACATCAGCCGAGGATCTGGCTCATAGAGCTCAATTGTAGCCCTTCAGGGTTCAGCCACTTCCCATGAATGAGAACTGGAACTCCACTCTGCCTCTCCCTCCAAGGCCGCAGCAGCTGTCCTTTTCACGGGGAGCTTGGTGGGCCTGTGTGGAAGGGAGGCAGCGTGGGCCATAGCCCCATGCCTCCCCGTCCCCTTTGAGGGGACTAGAGCAACCATTGCCACAAAGACCATTCCCAGAGCCCAAGTCCTGTGGTTGTGCCTGGGCTTTGGGCCGAGGCACTGGGGATGGAGAAAAGCTCCCAGTGATCTCACCTCCCTTGCACACCCACCCCTCTGGTCTTGGTGCAGGGATTCACTCCCAGCACCTGGTCAGAGACAGAAAATGTAAAACTGTTATGGCCAAGGTTTGGTGGCCAACAGCCAGCCAGCCAGCAAGGTCTTGCGGTGTGCCGCTAGGCCGACGAAAAGAGTTGCACTAGTGCACTAGTGGCTCACAGGTTGTGGCTGGAACTGGGGATAATAGGTGTGAAAGTGCCTTTCTGGTGAGTGTCTCTCAGCTGCTGGCTATGTCCGTTCTCTATAAGTAAGTGGGATCCCATCATGTCCATTGAGGGTGCAGACATGAGATAATCCTCCAGTGTTTCCTGTTACATAATAATAGCAGGTTCCCACAACCATCCTTATTTCACACAGTGTTCAGCAGCGAGAAAAGCTAATTGGTTGGCTGTAGTGATGTTTTTGTGATGTCATTTGCCTCTCGGCCTAGCCGGAGTTTCACTGCTCCAGTTGAGATTCATTTCTTCAAGCTAATTTCCAGTAACACCAACCCCAAAAGTTCAAAAATCATGAGCCAGACCCTAAAACATCACGAGAGTGGCCCAAATAGAATGAGATTTTACAAAATGATTAAATAATATTTTCCGGTCTGTCCTCCGATTATTGGCATGCCCCCACCCATGGAACTCCGGCAATTTCCAGCCCCTGCTGCAGGTTCTTTCACTAGAGAACCCATCTGAGATCAGGGCCCCACTGTGCTAGGTGCTGTACAAATGCAGCGAGAAAGACAGTCTGTCCTGAAGAGGCAACATTCTAGTGCAAACTATAATGGTGTGTTCGTGACATAGGAGCGGGAACTAGCACTCATCAATTTCATCCCACACAGGGAGCCATTAGAGGGGAACCATTCCTGGGCAGGACTCATGGTGGTGACCTGCAGGTGAAAGGCTCTATAGCAATAGCAACACCCTGGAGCATCCAGTTTCCATACGTGCTAAAGTGACACCTGCGAAAGTGAGGCTGCTTTCTGGAAAGACACATTTATCTGATCAAACCATGACCTTTTCGAACTGACACATGCAGAGTCTGCCCCGGTCTAGTCACACCAGCACAGTCTCTCAAACACGGCTCTTCTTGAGTGTATGCTCAATCTGCCAAATCCTATTCTTACAGGGACAGCGCCAACTACCCCAAATTCAAATGCAACAGTAAAACAATATTAACACAACACCCAAATTCACTGCTAAATACATCTTGCAACAGAAAATCCTTCCATCAATTACTCCAGGGTCCTTATACTAACTGTAATACATCTACCTATTGTATTTCACCCATGTGTCATCAGCCAGATTCGCATACACAACCTTCAGATCCACAGCATAAACCTCTTCTACTGACGCTTAAAGAGAAACCAGTGAGGAGAAAAATATGCTGTTATCCTCTTATGTGGATATAGCCCATAGAGGGAGCCAGAACACATCCATTGCCAGTGCGTTAAACAAGTATTTGTCAGACAGTGGTGGGACACTGGGTGGCCACTGGCAGGTTTCTTGGTTTCTCTTTCTGGCTGAAGAGGAGATTGTAAGCTAGTGGTTACAGACAGCCTAGCAAATGTAACAAGTCTGTTTGAGTTGTCTATGAGGAATGAATCCAAACTGCTGGATGTCCAAGCATGAGTATCTACCTCTTGAGCTGAAGAGCCAGATGGAGCAGAGTAGTCAGACATTTGTATATGTTGACTAGCCACTAGAGGGTGACACAGAGACACTCTGTGTAAACCTGGATACAGACACACCTAATCTGCCATGTCCCTTCCATACAAGGCTGTGTGGCAAAGTGTTTGGGACTTGACTCTGTTATATTAGAGAACTTGGGATCTATTCCCAAATCTGCACGCTCTCAGTTATCTTATCCGAAGTGGGCGGATGACAGTTACCCCCCAAGGTTCCAATATCAGGTCTTGGCTTATAATAAAGATTGTGAAAAGTAAAGAAATAGCAGCGCCCACGGTGGAACAGCTGAGACTCAACTTTCAGGTCACTAGCTTTGCAGTTCAGTGCACCTTTAGGCTATTGGTGCTCCAGAGTCAGCAACAGTGGATTTATTAATGAACTGGACGCCTCAGGCCATTGCTAATGGGCTTCAGCCTTTTGCCTGTCAGTCACCAGTCTGTAACCAGCCCAGCTCAGGAGGGATTAAAAGTTGTTCCTCTCTAATGGCTGTCTCAGTCCCCTAGATCAGATGTCTTTGCAGGAGGTGTTCAGTTCCAGCTCCCACGCCACATAATTACACTTTGTGCTGATTGGCAGACTCAGCAGTGAAGCCACGGGCCACAGAGACAGACTGTTACCTGTGAGCCGGGCTGACAGTGCATTGTTTGGGCAGCTCGCCCGGTCACTGCTCTGTAGACAAACCAAGGACTTTGTTCACCAGGCTGTGCATGAGCACTAAATCCACACCATTTTTTTAAAGCTAGAGTTTGCTGTTATATGCCAGTTAGTTGCAAATACGCAAACTATCCCATTAAATAATCTGCGTTAAATGTCACACGCAGAGCTCCACGAAAGTCAGCCATTGTGATCTTTAAGCCTCATAACCCTGTGAGGCAGCCAAGTATCATTATCGCTATTTTACAGCTAGGGAAACAGGGCGAGCAGGTCAGTGATTTCTCCCAGGTCACAAGTGACGTCAGTCGGAGCATCAGCATTGATCTTCTGACTCCCCATCCTCTGCTTTAGCCAGACGAGCATAGTGTGAGTCATTCTTGATCTTTCATATGCTTTCGCAAGCTGGTTTTGGGCCAGCTTTTCAATAAAGCTCAGGGTCAGCTCTGTTAGGTGATGCGTTCTTTTGAAAATCTAGCTGCATGTGCCTGCTCTTTCGCTTGTTTTTGTGGTTTTAGTGCTTGTTTTTTGCTTGGTTTTCTATTTGCCTGTGCAGTATTGGTGCTGGTTTTGTGTGCATCAGGGCAAAAATT